TAAACAAGTAAAGCACATAGTGTATGCTCATTTAACAGTACCTGTCAATAGACTTGGAGCGAGTAGCACCCTGAGTAAAGTTTGGATAGTACAGTGATGGTAAACCTTTTAGAGCTTTCAACCATAGAACAACCTGCTGTGGCACACATATCATAGGTTTACCGCCACTGGACTAGTAGATTTGGTTTGTCAGGAATTAGGTAGGGTCTGCTACAAAGAGACTGCTCAGAGAAAAGGCTCTGGTGAATTGGGGATATGGCCAGTGATGTGCATGGAAACCTTCAGGGCCAAATGTTGGAAGAAGGGAGTAGGAACAAGAGGACTATCTAAAGCAAAATGAGACTACATTTTCATGAACATTCTATAAAGAAGTGTAGTCCTTCTCAACATGCACTGTTTTATGAGGCAATGAGCTCTGCCCCTGGAAGTGTTCAAGCAGAGGCTGGGTGCTGGCTAGCTGCCACAAATACTCTAGTCTACTCCAGAGTTTCCCAAACATATGTGTATATGATTTATTTGGATATCCTGTTAAAAGATGAGTTTTTTTTTTAAAGATGAGTTTTTATTTAGTTGGTCTGGGATGGGAATCTGTGGTTTTTGCATTCTAACCAGCACCTTCATGGTGGTGATGATCCTAATCAACAAACGTTACTCTGAGTAGCATTACTGTTGTTGCAATTTGAAAATAACATACAGTAAGACAGAAAAATATGGGGAAAGCCAGAGAATTACCCAGAGTGGAAAGAATTTGATGCAATCATGATATGCAATCTAGTTTTTAGCTTTGTAAGCTTTGAGATTTGATTGGTATATCACTAGATACTAGGCTCCTGGGAACTGACTCACACTTAACCAAATTCACAAGAGACCAATATGTGAGCCAGAATGTCAATTGATTAATTTATAATGAGAAGTATAACTTCCAAATGGAGAAGATACTCGTGTTTGATGATCAGTGCATTATCTCCCTGTAGGCATACTTACATGAGGAGCTAAATGACAATAGGAGGTTGCTTGGTGAAGATGCACTCAGAGCAAAGAGAGTTCATAAAATGACTTTAATGGTTCACATCATCAAACTGTGATAGTCAGAGATCTCCATTCCACAGTTGGGTTAGACACCTCCCCACCCCAGAATAGATCTGGGGATCTTAGCCTTCCCTCTAGTCTCTCTATCCTCCAGTTTTGCCTTTGTACAAACCAATCTGTTTAAGCCTAGATATGATATTATTCATATGTTCCACTGGCTTCAACATAAATTCATGATTTTAAACATACTACAAAAAGTATAAAATATACAGAAAAGTTGAAAAAATACTAAAAATGAGTATCGATATACCTACTGTCTAGATTCAGCAAATAATCATTTTGCTACATTTATGTGTGTGTGCTCATGTGTCACGTGTATTGAGTCCATACTCTTTGACACAGTTTTCTAAACCATTTATGTTCTGATACAACCTGCTTGACTAGCTTCATCTTCAGCAACGTACATTCTAGACATACCAACCTACTGAATATTAGTTCCGTGTGGTTTTCATATATTATTGCGTATGACTGAAGACCATTGCCTTTTTGCTTGGGTAACTTTTTTCTGAAAGACTGAACCTCATGCATGTTGCTAAAGTGTCTTGTGCTTTCACCCACCATAATATTTATTACTTCATGTTGTTGTCCTTTTACCTCTTTCATCTATCCCTCTAAATTGTGAACTCACTCAAAGCAGGAACTCTTTCCTTTATCTCTATATGCCCCTGCATTGCACTAGTAGATGGTCAGTAATCAGAAAACTGCATACTACAAAGTTCTACCTGGTTACATCTTAACCACCTCAACATCAACATGTCTAAAGTGAATTTATGTATCCTCCTTTACACTGTACACATAAAACCCTCCTCTAGTATTCTCTGGCTGAATGCCATTTAGTCTTCAAAACTAAGGATTGTAGGGCATCCCCTAACTCCTACTTCATACCCCAAACTTACCTCCAGGATACCTCCATTCTGTCCACTTCTCTATTCGCCACTATCTATCTAGTCCAATCCACCTTCACCTCCCATTTGGAGGACTGCTCACAATCTTCTATCTGGACTCCCAGCTGCTACTTGTGTCCCTTCCAATCTGTTATCCATGGAGGAACCACAATGATCTCCAAATTTGAGAGTGGATATTACTCCCTACTTAAGACCTGCTTATATTATGTTTTATTTTGGGATAAAGATCAAACCCCCAAACCAACTCTCAAAACCTGGCCCCTGTGTACCTTTCCAATTTTATCTCTTGCTATCTTCCCCTTTATACTCGAGATTCTAACCATTTGATACTTTCAAGGCCTATAATAACTGTAGATCCCAGCATTTTCAATTTCATGTTTCAGTACTTTTTCTTGCATTGTTCTCTGGCTAGAAGGCTTAATCATTTCAAGTTCAATATAGATGAAACCCTCTCTGGGCTACTTTGCCTTATTTCCTGCTCTTGCTTAGGCACCTCTTCTCTATTATCCACTATTGTCATGTGCATACTTGTCTTAGCACTTACACCATATACATACATCACTGTACGCTGCACTTACCATTGTGTGTGTGTGTGAGAGAGAGAGAGACAGAGGGAGAGAGAGAGAGAGAGAGAGAGAGAGAGAGAGAGAGAGAGAG